GGGTTTATAAACACCATAACAAACTCTTCTTTTGCTAAAGTTTTTATTTTTGTTGCTTGCAAATAGCTTTGGGAGCTTGAATGTGGAACTAACATTCGTGTACATGAATTTTTATTGCTAAAAGCTTTTGACTGTTGCTGCGATGCTCTTTCATTCTAGAGCAGAATTCTTGTATTTGTTCTTTATTATGTGTTACTAAGGGCGTGTTTGGTGCAGTTTGTTGGAGCTTTTGTTTTTTTGGTACTGTTTATGAGTGATAAGTTTAAATTTTTATTGGAGGAAAAATTTAAAAGTTGTTTTTAGAGATAGGAAAAAGTGAGTAAAAAGTGAATAAAAATGAAGTTTATGAAAAGTTTGAATTTGAATCTTTTGATCTTTTACTATTTACTATTTAGGGTCTTTTTAAAGTTAAAAAAATATTTAAAAATGTAAGTTTTTAAGAGGAAAATTTAAACTTATGAAACATAAATAGTGTCAAAAAGATGAAGCACTTGGGAAGCTGCATCAAACGCACCCTAACTGCTTTGTGGAGTATGAAGAAGATTAAAAGAATTACCTAGAAATTAAATCTTTTTCTTTCTCTTTTTATCTTTTTGGGTGGTTTTATTTTCTTTGTACTTATGTGTTGGCAAAATATCCAAATTCATCCCAAAGTATAGTGGTAGAGATGGATCTACCCCCAAATAAAAAACAAGGACAAATCCACCAACAAAATTTTTAATTTGGACAAATCATTTCAAATTTAACATGAGATGTCATCTGACATAAGCAATTCGTTAATTTGACGTCATTTAACGTCAGCAATCCATTATTAACGACATAACAAATTAGCGGATTGCTAACGTCAGATGACGTTACACGCTAAATTTGAAATAATTTGTTCAAATTGAAAACTTTGTGGGTGAATTTGTCTCCATTTTTTATTCAGAAGTGGATCCGTCTTTGCCACTGTACTTTGGGATGAATTTATGAATTTGGATATTATGCCTTATGTGTTTCTAATTTTAAAACTCAGTAAGTTCAAGAAAGGGACATTATCTTCGTGCAAAGGACATGGTCTTAAAACTCAGTAAGTTCAAACTGCCTCTTAAATAGGAACATGTTGCCAAGATTGTAGGTAATGGTGTTGCTCCTGGGAGATTGCATGTTGCTTGAGCTATGGTTGAAGGATGGTGGACCTGTTTATTGAACGTAAAAGTCTAACTACTAGCTTTGTATTTTCTTAATTGCGACTAATGCACATTTTTTTGTTTAGAAATTATATATGAGTTGAATTGTAATATTTGTTATGTTAGGATTGAGGGAAAGTACTCCAAAATAAATTTAAGTATCATAACAGAGATCGATGTTTACTATTTTGTTAAATAAAATGACAAACACTCGAGATCTTATGCCAGTAACAAATATGTGATTGTATTTTTCGATACCTTGAAAAGTTTCCATTGGTGAAAATATACAAAACAAGAAATCTGTGAATTTATGAATTTTAATTTTAGTGAAAACTTTAGAACTACTGCCATTTAAAATTAAACCTAACACTACAACTAGCAACGTGGGATTGTCTCATATTTAAATTTTTATATAAAGAACAATAGAATTTGATAGGATTAATTTAGGATTAATTAAAATTTTGTGTATGTATTGGTATAATATAAAAATATAGTATAATTTGTAACTCTTCTTTTAAAATTCAATATATTACAAGCATCTGAGAAAATTAAGTGGGAAATATTAGAAAGTATTAACTTCAATTTATATAAACTTTTAAATATAATAACTTGCATGTATAAAGATGTTTCTCATTAAAAAGGTTTTCTTTGGTCTATCCTAAGATGGACCAAACAATACCCCGCAACGCGGGCATCATCTCTAGTCTACCTCCATAAAGGAGACAGCAGGGTAATGAAATCATTTCTTTATTTCTTTAAAATTTTTATTTTTTCTTCTACTGAATTTGTATGTTCTATGAAAAATATCTAACTTCTTTTTTGTTCTCCTTTTAGGTTTGAAGCACTAGTGCATCTGGGAGTCTGATTTTTTTTTTTTAAAAGTTATTTTTAGCTTATTTAGTATTTTCAAGTATTTTATATTTTTTAACTTCTAATTTTAGATACATAATGTGCTACTAGGTAATATGAATATAATATTTTTGGGATAAAAGTAAATTTTGAACTAATTTATTTTGTTGTGCTAGGGTCATTATAAATCTAAAATTTGTGATTTGTTAAAAATATATTTTGTCATTAATATTCTCAATTTATTTGTTAGATGTCAAATTAATTAATTAGACATATATATTGTGAATCACATTTTTGGCCCACCGGTAAAGGGTCAACAATGTGGCACTCGAGTATTGACATTAATCCCCCACCTCCTAAATATAGAATGGTAATGTAATTATCTTATTAAAAAATTTCGGCGCATATATCACATG